GTTAGGGTTAGGGTTAGGACTAGGGTTAGTGTTGGGTAAGGGTTAGGGTTAGGGTTAGGGTTAGGGTTAGGACTAGGGTTAGTGTTGGGTAAGCGTTAGGGTTAGGACTAGGATTAGTGTTGGGTAAGGGTTAGGGTTAGGACTAGGATTAGTGTTGGGTTAGGGTTAGGGTTAGTGTTGGGTAAGCGTTAGGGTTAGGACTAGGGTTAGTGTTGGGTAAAGGTTGTGGGTAGGGCTAGGAGTAGTGCTTGGTCTAGTTTTTAAGGTTATAGTTTGATTTATTTTTATTTATTTTATTCTTGAAATCTACTCGATTTGCTCTTCATTGGGAAATTCTTTAACTACATTAGCCTCTTTTTCTTAAGTTTTTGTTGTTAATTGGGAGGTTTACAGAGCAAATCATTACTTTTACATTAAAAAAAAAAAAATCCAATACTTCATTTCATTGCAATGATTTCAATCCCCTCCATCTGCCATTATTGTGAAATGCTGTCCAGGCGGTTCTGACTCACGGTGACTCTGTAGAGGGTTTCCAGGAGCAGCTGGTGGGTCTGAACAGCAGACTTTGTAGTTCACAGCCCAGTGTTCATACTATAGTGCGACACCCTGTACTATTGTGCTATTAACACACGTTAACAGTATTGACCTCTATTCACTTCAAATCGTGCCCTCCTGTCCTCTGCTCCCTTCATCCTTCCTCTGCCAATCTGCCTCTTGTTGTACACTGCCGTCTCACCACCCAAGTTAACAGGTCTACTCCGCAGAACACAAATAATTTTCCCTTCCCTCCCACCCCAAATAGTCATCAGAATGTTTATTCTATCAAGAAATCCTTTTCTTAACATTTTGTAACAGTGGTCTCATATAGTATTTGCCATTTTGTGATTGACTAATTTCACTCGGCATAATGTCCTCCAGGTTCATCCATGCTGTGAGGCACTTTGCAGAGTCATCATTATTCTTCAATGATGTGTAATATTCTATTGTGTGTGTGTATGTATCAAAGTTTAACCATTTTTTGTTGATGGACATTTAGGCTGTCTCCATCTTTTTGCAATCAATGTTGGGAAGCATGTATCTATTCATGTTGGGCCTCTTGTTTCTTGAGGATATTTACCAAGTAGAGGGACTGCTGGGTCACATGTTTCTATTTCTAACTTTCTGAGAAAGAGCAGAGAGATAGGAAAATGTAGCTATAGAGTACGAAAATAGGAAGAAGTTTTCAAAACACTTAAAAAGCAGGGAGAGAAAAGATAATAAAGATAGAATAGAGTAGTAAAGAAAGATCAAAAGCAGAAAATGAAGAAGGGGAAATGTAAAAGAAGAAAAGAAAAAGCAGAGATAGAAAGACTCAAAATCAAGGGATGGGAAAGAAAAGGAGCAAAAAGAATAAACTAAACCAAGGAAACAAGAAAAGGTAAATAACAAAAAAAGTGTAGCTGTTGGACTCAGAAAACAGAAAATTCTGGGGGGCTGTCGTCAGTCAGTCAAGGAGCTCACGAGGTGGGTGAGGGAGAACTCTGAGAGCCGAGTTCCCATAAGCCTAGGAGTTGTCTGTGTTCAGGACACTCGATCCAGAAGTAATCCATGGTGGTTCTGAACGCAGCTGGTGTCAGTGTGTTAGGATCACAGGGCAGCTGGGGCAGGATGGCTGGTCCCCAGGGGTTCTGCTAGAGTGATGCTGGCCTGAGGTGCTGCGAGTCTGTAAGTCTGGAGTTGGACCTGGCTGAATTCAGGCACCAAGACAGTGCAGCCAGCAGCCAGCTCACAGTGGTATGGCTCCCAACCTTGCAGCTCCAAACTCCCAGAAATCAGGGTCTGTGCTGGAAAGGAACAACGGTAGGGGCTAGTCACACCTCTAGTCTCCAGGGAAGCATGGGGAACAAGAAGGAATTTCAGTCCACCTTCTGTCGCCAAAGCTGCTCGTGAAAGTACAAGATGGCTCACTGCGTCTGGCCGGCCACCAATTCACCAGTCTCCTTCTTGTGCCACCCTGCTCAGCTTCTCCTCCCAGTAAGTACTCACTCCATTTTGCTAACTTTCCTCTGAAGCTCAGGACTCCAGGATTCTCACCTGTCTGTTTCATTTGGTCTCCCAAGGAATTCTGATAGCGTAGTCGGTTAAGAGTTGGGCTGCTAACCACATGGTCAGCAGTTCAAAGCTACCAGCCACTCTAAGAGAGAATGATGAGGCTTTGTGTTCCCTTTGTCACCACTCCTGTTTAATGTCATGCTCAAAGTCTTACCCAGAGCTATGAGACAGCAAAGGGACATTGAAGGCACCCAAGCTAGCAAAGAAGTAAAATTCTATTTGCAGATATGATCTGCATAGAAATCTGCATATGATATGTATAGAAAATCCCAAAGACTTAGCTAGAAAGTTACTGGAATGCTACCAAAAAAAAAAATCTAACAGAGACTGGTTAACTATTGGGAAGGAGGAGGAGGAGGAATAGAACCGACAAGAAAACCAGACAGGGAAGCAGTTGGATACGTGATGCTACATTGAAGGAATTGCAGTCACTGACCTGAAACTAAGTTAATGATGTGTTGGATGTAAAACTGACTATCTGCTCTGTCAACTTTCACTTAATTCACACTAAAAAGCTTAAAAATACTGTCTTCTCCCTTTCCAAGACAGAGAACATATGCCCATCTCTGCAAAATAAAACAGCATTTCAGATAATAAGGTCATTCCAACTCACCAGGATTTGAGGCTTCCTCTTCTTTGCTTGGGGCCAATCAGTCTTCTTAGAAGACAAACCTAATGGCAGAAAGGACAAGCGTGAGAAAGCAGACCTCCCATAATACCTCCAGATCACAGGCAGGAAGGAAGCAACCTCTTCACTCAGCTGTGGCCACTACAGCATTCTCACCTGGACCTGCAGCCTTGGTCCCCCACTTCACCTCTCCACACCCTCAACAACTCTCACCTTCTGCCTTCTGTGTCTGGGTCACTTTCTTCATGGTCTCCGTATGGTCCCTGTTCTTTGAAGCCAGAATCTTCTCCCAGTCCTGCTCTCCCCGGGCAGAAGGACCAGGCAACGTGACGGCCCCCGAGTCATTGGGAAGTGGTTTCATCTCCAGATGGGTGTCTGCTGCTTGGGGAGATGTCTTCAGTCTCAGTGATGGAAACCCCTCTCGTTTCCAGGCACCCAGGAGCTGTGGGACAGAGAAGCACCGTGACGCTCTGGACACTGTGTTGTGTGCTCTCCCCTCTCTCCCCGAGTCCCCCTCAGCAGGATCCGGTCCTCTCACACCCTCCTGGGTCACCACTCACAGAGTCTCAGCCCACTCAGGTTCTTTGCAGTTTTTACCTTTACTCATTCCTGGTCTATAAGCCCTCAAGTCTGCTCCCTAACACTCCTTTTTCCTATCAATTTTACTGCACTCTCTTGTCCTGAAACCTCAGAATCACACACCTTGCTCCAGATGAGTGTCTGCTACCTGGGTCAGAGCGGAAACAGCTCAATGTCTGTGGAACAAGAGCCTGAAGTCTCCCTGCAGACCAGTCAGGGTGGGCAGTAATCGGCTTCTCATGCCTGGCTGCGCAGTGAATTCTGTAGTATGGTCCTTCTACCCAGAGTTCACAAAGGAGCTCTGGTAGGGCATTGGGTATGAGTCAGCCTGCTAATCTCAGGGTCAGCAGTACGAAACTATCAGCAGTTCCAAGGGAGAAAGACGAGGCTTTCTGCTCCTGTAAAGGTTTACAGCCTCAGAAACCATATACAGGGTCGCAATGAGTCGGAACCGACTCCACAGCACAGAACCACCACCGTGAACTATGTATGGGAGGGAATCACCCGGGCAGCGGTAGGTTTGTCTATTCTGTTTTGATTAGTCATTGTCTTTGTGACTCCCACACAATGACTGGGCAGGCCTATGTCAATCTGTGGCCCATCGAGGGCACTGAACACCTTGCTGTTACCGTAACTAAGGTAAAGGAAACCTCTTCAAGGGGATTTGTTTGTTTGCCATCCAACCCCACTAGGTTGAAAGGGAGACAGGGAGAGAAGGAAAAGCGATCACAAGGAAGACCGCGAGAGATGGTCACATAAAACCAGCAAGAATAACAACAGCACAACAAAGCGACCATGGGACTTGCTGAGCTCAAGAACTGTAACACTTGCTGGAGAAGGCCCCAAGTAGGGCCTAGCAGCAGAAGTCAAGAAGATATGCAGATTAAGAACTGCATCAAGATGTTCCCGATCCCAAGTTGTACTGTGGCTTCTCTGGTGGTGACGGTGTGCCATGGAGTCGGTTCAAATCATAGCGACCCTGAATACAGTTTCCAAGGTGGTAAGTCTTTACGGGAGCATACAGCCTCATCTTTCTCCCACAGAATGGCTGGTAGTTTCGAACTGCTGATCCTGAGGTTAGCAGCCCGACTCATAAAACTACATAATTTTAAGTACAGTTCATGAATTCTCTGAGACATTGCAGCAAATTAAGGAACCAAACACCAAAGGGAAAGAACTGAGGCGAGGAGAAATAATTGATGTTACAAATAATGGAGTGAGACAGCACTTAGGAAAAGTTGGGAATTCTGGATTATCTTTAACCTCCGTCTCACAGGAACCAGCTTTGCGTTGATCCTTTAAATCCACTTATTTACTGACTGTCTTCGTTACCTAGAGCTGCTATAACAGAAGTACCACAATTAGATGACTTAAGCAAACACATTTACTCTTGCACAGTTTGGGGGGCTTCAAGTCCGAATGCAGAGTGCCACCTCTAGAGAATGGTCCTGGTCTCCTTTCAGCCTCCAGACACCTACCATTCATTCCTTAGAGCTCTGCATGTGTCTTAGCAACATCAATCTTTCCCTGATCTAGGAGCCTCACAGTGCAGGGGCCTCAGGGCCAAAGGACACACTCCACTCCTGCCTTTTCTTTCTGTGGCAGTTTGTCCTTCCTTCTCTGCTCATTTCTCTCTCCCTTTACATCACAAAAGAAATGGACTCCTGACACACCTAACCCTGGAGATTGCATCCAATCTCATTAACATCACAGAAGTGAGAACTAGAAGCCTAGAATAACTGCATCAGATAAGGCTGGAGATCACATCAGATCACATCATAAAGGTGATTCATGTTAGATCACACCATGGGGGATTTACTATAGGTGCTGGTGTGGCACTGTGGGTTAATGCGCCGGACTGCAAAGCTGTTTGAACTGCAAGGTCGGCAGTTCAAGCTCACCAGCTGCTCTTTGGAAACCCTATACAGGGTCGTTATGGGTCGGAATCTACTCGACGGCACTTAACAACAAGCTACAAAACCGTGGGAATCCAGACCCAGTCAAGTTGACATAAAACCTTAACTGTTACACTGGCTTAGCCCAAGGTTCCAGTTGTGGCCAATTCTCTACATCCTTGTACTCAGGAGTCCCTCCAAAGTTCACACTGGCTTTTCCAAGATACCCACCCACCTTCCATCTCTGTGTGTAGGCCACATGACTGTACCAGTCATTCATCCTCTCATGTGACCCAGGGAACGCAGGTGATGTTAGGAACTATGCTATCTTTACAAGCTCCTCAGACAGCCTGGCCAAGTGGCCAGTATCTCAGCCCACATGACTACAGCCCTACTGCCGCCTTGTTACTGTGGTCAGCAGCCAGCAGTGAATTCCAGCTCATGGTGACCTAATGTGTACAGAACAGAAGGGCTCTATTGTTTTCAAGGCCGTGGTCTTTCAAAAGTGGGCTGCCAGGCCTGTCTGTGGAAGCACTTTTGGTCAGGTTCATACTACCAACCTCTCAGCTAGTAGTCAAGAGTTTAACCGTGAACACTCCCCAAGGACTCCTTACTGGTGCCTGGTTCCCTGTTAAGGCTACCTTGGGCACGTACCCTAAAAACAGTCGGTAAACTGGCTCACTCCTTCTGTGCAAACCAGACTTAACACCATAATCCAACCACCTTACCATATCTATTTAGATTACTCTTCGTAGCAGAAGTTAAGCGCCTATGAAACCTATCCTGAGTCATTTTGCTAGTCCTGGTGTGGCAGTGTAGGATCAGCATTGGACTACTATCCTAAAGGTCGCCAGTTCGAACCCATCAGCCACTCCTTGGAAACCCTATACAGGGTTGCTTGCTATGAGTCAGAATCCACTGGACGGCAGTTAACAACAGGGATTACTATAAAAATAGGGCTCTGTGACAGATTTGATCATTTCCCCCTGATATAGAATTCTCCATGAAAGGGTTCTACTTCAATGATCCTGTTACTGGGCTTGACCTTGAGAGTTGCCTTAGGCAATCACTGCACAGTGGAAGTGACCTTGTGATGAGTGCAGGGCTGTTTCTCACTAGGGTCCTAAATCCATTAGGAATCTATTCTAACTGTGCTTCTTCACTCAGGACAGAGGCCAAAGGTGCAGCCATACCTGGGACATCACCAATGGGAACGACAGAAGTCTGGAAGGAGAGCTGGCCTCTGCCACTCAACAAACACAGGGACAGTAGGTCCAGGGACACTAACCTGCCCCCCCTCAGGAAAAAAAACTGCTTAGACGCTTGACTAGAAGATGCAGTTCATCCACGTTAAGTCTATTTTGTGTCGGTCCCAGCGCCCAGTGTAGAACCTTCCCTATCTCCTAAAAGCTTACCTCCCATCACCTGTCCACCCCTGCAGCAAACCAAGGCACAGTAGGTACTGAGACATCCTCACTGACCATCTGGAAGGTCTCCAATAGCCAACAAAACAACCTAGACATCAGAATGAGTTCTAGGTTCCCACTCCGACCCATCATGTATAAGCAAACAAGAGCTCCCCACCAGACACCCCGGGGGTCACACCCTGGCCGTCTCCCCCGAGGGGATGTCCGTCCATCTGCCCCGGGCGGAACTCCCCCCACAGCCCAGAAAACCCGGGGACGTAAGGCTGGAGCAGCGCGGTTTTTCCCGTGCTCATCCCGGCCTCTTCCAATCAGGAACCCCAAATTCCAGGTTCCACTGGTCCCAGCCCGGGACCCAGGGACAGCGAAGCGCCCTGCAAACCCAGGATCCGGGCCTTCTTTCCAATTCCCTAGCCCCGGCACCATAGGATAAGAACTGGAGCGCAAGGTCGGTGGTTCAAATTCACCAGCCGCTCCTCGGGAACAGTATACAGCGTCGCTACGGGTCAGAACTGACTGGATGGTACTAACAACAACCGGCGTCTCCAACCACGCCCCCCTCTCCAAAAAACAAAACAAAACAAAAACGGAACATCGGTAACCTGTGGGTACTGACCCGGCCGGCCCGCCCCTCGCCAGCCGAACCCCACTTAGGGCCCCGACACCTCCCCAACCTTTCCTCCCTGCTCTCCCGGGCCGCGCGTTGAAAAGCCGCTCTGCAGTACGACCGAAGTCACAGTGTGCAGAACCGCTCCAGCCTCTCGTGATGAAATGAAGATACCGTTGCATCACGCCCAGGAAGGAATCCTCCGCTCTGCTGTCCTCCTCAAGAACCACAAGCCAGATCCACAGCCGCAGCAGCCCCCGCGGACGACTTCCGGCCCGCCCCCCGGAGCGCGCGATGACGTCCTAAGGCATTTCCGGTAGGCTCGTCTCGCTGAACCGCGCCGACTGCGAGTCCGCTTTGTTTGCAACTTTCTCTGCTCCAGCGGAGTGGAGCTTCCTGAGCTATGTTCCGTTACATACACCTGTTGTAGGGGGAAAAAAGGGTCCAAATGCGAGGTGAGTCCAAACTTCTCCGCACTCCGGTTCTCTTAAAACTTCTGTTGGCTGCGCTTTCCGTTCAAGGTTGCTGCTGTGCAGGTGTGAGCCTGTTACGTCACTCGGTTGGGAACTGCGGTGCCAGGAGAAATGGCTGCCCCTCTTGTGATCTGCACGAAGGAAGAGCAGCGTGCGGTGATCCGTTTCTTGTGGTCTGAGGGTGTGCCTGGGGCCGACATTTTCCGAAGACTTTGTGCACAGTATGGAGAAAGTGTTTTGTCGCGAAGAAGTGTGTATGAATGGATAGAGAAGTTCAAGGAAGGGCGCACAAGTGTCAGCCACGAAGAAGGAGCTGGACGCCCGTCCACGTCCACGGCTGATGACAACATTGCGCGCGCACGTGAAATGATCATGTCCAATAGACAGGTGACCGTGGATTGTGTGGCAAGTCATTTGCAAATCAGCCACGGCTCTGCCTATGAAATCATCCACAACAGACTGGGATTTCGCAAAGTTTGCACCAGATGGGTACCCAAACAACTGGAGGAAGATTTGCCTCTGATGAAGAAGTGAAGACAGCAGCACATTCTTGGCTCACAGCTCTGCCGAAAACATTCCCCCCTTCCCCCATTTTTAAATGAGGGAATATGAAACCTTGTTGACAGATGGACACAGTGTATTGGAAAGCAAAGAGATTATGTGGATAAATGGTGTGTTTGTCTTTTCTAAAAGTTCATTAAAATAAAATTCCACAGCCAGAGTGTGGTTAATTTTTTGACTCACCCGAGTATATTTATGTTATTGTTGTTAACGTGCAGACAATTTGGAGGGAGGGGAAAAAAGAAAATGAATAGAAGTAAATACTGTGAATGGAGGGTCCATGGGGTGGTTTGCAGTCACTGTACTGACACGAAATATATAACGACAAATGTGGGACTGACTGATCTGTTCTGTAAACCTTCACTCAAGTCAATAAAAATTAGACATTTATATTTTTTAAAAAAGTGAACAAATTAAGTGTATGAGAAAAATTCAAAAGCACAATGAGCTATCGCTTGATTCGTATTTTGTACAATCCATGTTCTGGTTATTAATGGATATTTGCAGCTGTTTCTTCTCATTTTTAGGTTTTTAGTAGTGCCTGGTGTGGCACTGTGGGTTAATGTGCTACATTGCAATGTTGATTTGAAATGCAAGATCAGCAGTTCAAGCTTACTAGCTGTTCCTTGGGAACCCTAAATAGGGTCGCTATGGGTCAGAACTGACTAGACGGTACTTAATAGCAACAACATACATCTGAGAGGAATCCCACAAAGGAAACTCGGCCTTGGCTTTAGACACATTTCCCAATTTCAGAAGGGGTTTTAGTTTGTTCAAACTTTATGATTCATCTTGTTGTTAAGTGCTATAGAGTTCATTCTGACTCATAGTGACCCTGTCTAGGGTTTCCTAAGTTTCAAATCTTCAAGGAAGCAGAAAGCCTCATCTTTTTCCTGTGGAACACTGGTGGGCTTGAACCGCAGACCCTGTGGTTGGCAGTCCAGTGCTTCTCGTATAGAGCAATATTTGTCCTTTGGTGATTGACTAATTTCACTCACCATAATGGCCTCCAGGTTCGTCCATGTTGTGGGGTGCTTTGTAGCTACTTCATTATTCAGTGTTGCATACTATTCCATTCTGTGTATGCACCAAAGTTAGTGTAACCATTCTTCTGTTGCTGGTCATTAGGCTGTCTCCATCTGTTTGCTATTGTGAACAGTGCTGCAGTGAACATGGGTATGTACATAGCTAGTCCTGTCTTATCTCTTATTTCTTGAGGACCTATGCCAAGTAGAGGGATTGCTAGATCATACGGTATAGCAATTTCTCAACTTTTTGAGAAAGCACCATTCCACAGTGCTTGCACCATTTTACAGTCCCACCAGTCTAGGAGGGTCCCAGTTACTCGACAGCCTTGCCAGCATTTGTTGTTTTCTATTTTTTGGAACTTTGCTATTAATGCTGGGGTGAGATGACATCTCTTTGTTGTTTTGATTTGCATCTCTTTAATGGAGTCAAGGAGCTCTGGTAGCATAGTGGTTATGAATCGGGCTGCAAACTGCAAGGTCAGCAGTTTGAAACTACCAGCTGTTCTGCAGGAGAAAGGTGAGGCTTTCTGCTCCCGTAAAGATTTACAGCCGTAGAAATGCTGTACAGGGTAGCTATGAGTTGGAACCGACTCCACGGCACATAACAACAACAATGGAGTCCTGGTGTGGTGCAGTGGGTTAATGTGCTGGACTGCAAAGTCGGTTTGAAATACAAGGTCAGCTGTTCCTTGGAAACCCTACACAGGGTCACTATGGATTAGAACTGACTCGATGGCACTTAAACACAGTAACAGCAACAATGGAGTCCTGGTATGGTGCTCTGGGTTAATGCACTGGACTACAAAGTCGGTTTGAACCACAAGGTCGGCAGTTCAAGTTCGCCAGTCTCTCCTCAGAAACCCTATACAGGGTCACTATGGGTCGGAATTGACTCAACGGCACTTAACAACAACAATGGAGTCCTGGTGTGACACTGCGGGTTAATGTGCTGGACTTCATAGTCTGTTTGAACTGCAAGGTTGGTGGTACAAACTCACAAACCGCACCTTGGATATCCTATACAGGGTCACTATGGGTTGGAACTGACTCAATGGCACTTAACAACAATGGTTTTAATGAAGAGTCCTGGTGTGGCTCTGTGGGTTAATTCACTGGACTGCAAGGTAAAAATTGAACTGCAAGGTCGATGGTTCAAACTCACCAGCCGCTCCTCAGACCCCCTATACAGGTTCACTATGAGCCGGAATCAACTCAACGGTACTTAACAACAACAGTAGTTAAGGATTATAAGCATTTCTTCATAGATTTGTCAGATGCCTGCATGTCTTCTTTGGAGAAGTGTCTGTTCATGTCTTCTGCCCATTTTTTAATTGGACTGTTTGTCTTCGTGTTGAGGCATTGAAGTGATCTATAGATTTTGGAGAGTAGTTCTTTGTCTACTATGTTGTTGCCAAACATTTTTTTCCCAGTCTGTAGGTTCTTTTTTAACTCTCTTGGTGAAATCCTTTGATCCACATAAGTATCTTCTACTTATTCTTCACAATGTTGTCCAAAGCTTGTCATGATTCACACACAATCGAAAGCCTTTGCATAGTCAATAAAGCATAGGTAAACACCTGTCTGGCATTTTCTGCTTTCAGCAAAGATCCATCATTCATTCCACATCCTTGTCTGAATCCGGCTTGAGTCTCAGGTAGCTCTCCCCATGTCAATGTACTGTTGCAGCTGTTTTTGAATTATCTTTACAACAATTTCACTTGAATGCAATATTAATGATTATCTGATGATTTCTGCTTTCTGTTGGGTGACCTATCTTTGGAATGGGCACAAATATGAATCTCTTCCAATCATTTTGCCAAGTAGCTGTCTTCCAAATTTTTGGCACGAATGAACGAGTGCCTCCAGTGCTACATCAGTTTGTTGAAAGATTTCAGTTTGTATTCTATCAATTCCCAGAGCCTTGTTCTTGGTCAATGCCTTCAGTGCACCTTGGACATTCTCCTTCAGTATCATTGGCTCTTGATCATATACTACCTCTTGAAATTGTTGAACATCAACCATTTCTTTTTGGTACAGTGACCCTGTATATTCCTTCCATTGTTTTTTGATGCTTTCTGCATCATTCAATATTTTGCCCATTGTCATTGTTGTTGTTGTTGTTAAGTGCCATCGAGTTGGTTCTGACCCATAGTGACCCAATATAGGGTTTCTGAGGAGCGGCTGGTGAGCTTGAACCGCAGACCTTGAGGTTCAAACAATTTTGCAGTCCAGCACATTAACCCACAGCACCACATTAGATGCCTTCAATATTACACGTCAAGGCTTGAATTTTTTCCTCAATTCCCGCAGCTTAAGAAATGCTGAGTGTGCTCTTCCTGTTTGGGTTTCTGACTCAAGGTCTTTGCACATTTCCTTGTAATATTTGACTTTGTCTTCTTGAGCTGCCCTTTGAAATTTTCTATTCAGCTCTTTTACCTCCTCATTTCTTCATTTGCTCTAGCATCTCTACACTGAAGAGCAAGTTTCAGAGTTTCTTCTGACATCCACTTTGATTTTTTTCTTCTGAATGAACTGCTGCTTTCTTCATGTTGCTGATGTCATCCCACAATTCTTCTGGTCTTTAGTCATTATTGTCTAAATCATCAAATCTGTTCTTAAGATAGTATCTAAATTCAGGTGGGATATGTTCAAGGTCATACTTTGTCTCTCATGAGCTTGTCTTAATTTTCTTCACTTTCAGCTTGAACTTGCATATGAGCAAGTTAGTGATTACTTTTTCTATCTCTTTAAAGAATGATACTGACATCTGGGTTGGGATAGCATTATATCTATAGATTGTTTTTGTTACTTTCTTTGTTAATGTAAAGTAATCCAATAGATTTTTGTATGTTGATCTTGTGCCTTGCTTTATTTTTAAATTTTTTATTGTAAATTGAGTGATAGTTTACATGGGAGAACAGCAGCTTTACATTCATCCTATCAGGTTTCGTTTCATTGCGATGATTAATTACAAACCTCTCCATGCATCATCATTCAACAGCATTTGCTTCCATTCCCTCTGTTTTGTTTTTGTTTCTGGAAGTACATCAATTGTGAGGTTGGACCAGGACCAGGCAGTGTTTCGTTCTGTTGTACATAGGATCACTATGAGTCAGTAACGATTTGATGGCACCTGACAACAACAACACTGAAGGAATATATAACCATTCAAATAACCAAAGGGTACACCCTACAAGCCTGCCTCCTAGCCATCAGTACACAGCTCCTCTCTCTCCCCAGCCACTCCATCTCACCACATCATCGTCTCTGCCTCCATCTCTGTCGTCACTGACCCTCTGGATAGGGTCCCGCACTCCGCTCTTCTCCCTTGATGGTCCCAGGGTCCTCCACTCCTGGACTGCAAATCACTCCCCTCCATTTGTTACAAAATGTCTACCTTTACATTTGCAACACTCACAAGTCAGTTCTGATAGCAATTATTCACTATTGAACCACAAGTCTTATCCCCATCTCCTTTCATCAGCCAAGTCCAGACAGTACCCTGCTATTTTGTGGAATCTATTGATGAGTTCCAATACTTTTCTTGCAGAGTCTGGGATTTTCTAATTATAGAATCATATCACCTGAAAATAGAGTGTTATTTCTTCTTT